CTGCCTCGGAAACCCAAGGAGGGGTCACTATGAGTCGGGTCCGACTTGACGGCACATAACAACAACAACAGGAGCAATTAGAGTAAAACTTCTTTGTTTCCTAAACCCCAAGCAAGTTAGTTAACATTATGTCTGTTTCTTTATCTTTAAAAGTCAAAACATACACATATAATGGGAGAATAGACAGAAGAGGGGCTAGAATGAAGGGACTGATAATTGCTAAGGTTTTTCTAGGGACCCAGCACTACACTAAGCACTCTTCATACATTGTCTCATTTAATCAACTCCCCAAAGTGGGTAGTACTACTCCAGTTTTACAGACGAGACAACACAAAAGGTTTTATCGTCGGTGAATAGTGGAGTTCGAATATATATTGCCCTAAAGCATCACAGACTTGCTTTGAAGAAGATAATATAGTTCTAAGTAATTTCAAAAAGATAAGAGTATGCAGGTGCAAAGTATTATTTTTTTCTAAGTTGAGTTTTGTGTGAGATCTGAGACTTCTATTTTCCCTGACAATTGCAGTACACCCACTCCTCACTTAGAGTCCGTAGACAGGTCGTTATGTGAAAATTGAGAGGATTTTTTTCCTGTTTTCAGACCATCCATTGATCTTTTTTTTTTTTAAGAAAATATCATCATCCAAATAATAACAGCTAAGATTTATTGTGGTGCTCTTCACTGTGATGAGTTCAGTTATGGATTATTTTTTGCAGTGAAGGAGACTTGGAGGAGACAAAGCTGGATAAAGCCAGGCTGTGTGACTGGAGTGTACACAGCTTAACCATTTCACTTTCCTCCTGTGCTGCGTCAGAGGTTTCTTCATGGAGCTACTTCTAGGACTCCACTCTAATCCCTGTAAGTCCTACATTCATGACTAGAGCCTTCTCTGCCCTCTGGGCCTGGAGAATCACAAGGCTCAAGGCTTCCTGCAAGGGTTCTGGGAGCCTGGCTACACACCCAAACCCACCAAGGCAGATGCTTCAGGCCCAGGTCAGCTCACTTTGGGATGTCTTTAAACTCATACTTACTTCTTTCTAACACCCTGAGCAATGCCTTTTCTTTCTTCCCTTCTCAACCCACAATGGTTTTGAGCTGCAGGGCCTCAGGCCACAAAGGAACTGGGAACCCAGGACAGGCGGCCCATGACCACAGAAGATGCAGGCCCTGCATAGCAGCTGGAGGAGGCACCCCCCACTGGCAGGAGGAGGCATAGGGAGTGGAGGTTGTGGAGCAGTGGGGCCTAGTCCGGAGGGTGCCTGGACATCTTCCTTGAGGGAAGGGAGACTCTGCAACTGTTGCCATCATACCCACTACCTCGTTAATATGCAAAACAGTCAGATAGTAGATTTTTCACTATTGTCATAAATGCAAAATGTCACATAGCGAGGTAGTAAATGAGTGAGGAGTAGGTTTATTATTAATATAGCCTTCAAGGACATTCAGTATATTTAAACCATATTGGAAAAGCCAGGAAATGAAACTATCACCTATGGGAATCTTGAGAGTAGAGTTAATCAGAAGTTAATTTGAAATATCCACCCCATTATGCCCCCAGTGCTCCCATTTCTAGGATAGTCAGTGTAATTCCCTTAGAAGATTCATGCTGGAAATTCTGAACGAAATATGAATTTTGCCCTAATACAATGGGTTTATGTTTGATTTAAGGCACACAGCTATAGATCCTGAGAATTTTTTTTTTTTTTAAAAAGACATCAGAAAATAACTGGACTCAAAGGACCCAGATTTGGAAGCAAAGCACAAAATCCAAATGAGTTTGCTTACTGGGAAAGGCTCCTGCCAGGTTGCTCCCACAATGGAGGGCCTTATGATGGCCATATTCAGATTTCCACTCTCTTTTTGCACCACCATCTCTGCCAAAGCCTTGGTGTATATGTAAGTATTGGGCCGATCCCCGATCAGCTTAGGTGTGATGTCTTCAATAATGGAGTCATCTAACCACCTGAAGGTAGTGAGAGAGAAAAGAATTGTAACAACACATATTATTAGACAATCAGCTAAAAAGAAAATATGAGGCATAGACAATCATACAAATCTTCCATCTTCTAGTTTGAATTTTGGAATTGAGAGCAGTCACAAGATACCAAGGATAAGTGTGTACCTGTCCAAATCATGCATGATGAGCTCCTTCCTTACCATGGCTAAGCCTGATCTTACCAGTCAAATGTTACCTCTTCCCCCAGATAGATGATCAGTAGATAGATGGATAGAAAATTCAGTAGATATACAATCTACTACTTTATTAAATGTAATCTCTAATTACTTCTTCTCTAAAACGTTCATAAACACATTCACTGAACACAGTCAGTTGTGAGCTCACTTCTACAAGACTGTTGTTGTTGTTGTTGTTGTTAAGTGCCGTCGAGTCATTGCCAACTCATAGCGACCCCATGCACAGCAGAACGAAACACTGCCTGATCCCGCGCCAGCCCCACAATCCCTGCTATACTTGATCCCATCATCGCAGCCACCGTATCAATCCATCTCGTTGAAGGCCTCCCCCTCTTTTGTCGACCCTCCACCCTACCAAGCATGACATCCTTCTTCAGGGAATGGTCCCTTCTTACAACATGACCAAAATAGGTGAGACGAAGTCTGGACATTCTTGCTTCCAAGGAGCATTCTGGCTGCACTTCCTCCAGGACAGATCTGTTAGTTCTTTTAGCAGTCCATGGTACTTTCATCATTCTCTGCCAGCACCACAACTCAAAAGCATCAACTCTTCTTCGGTCTTCCTTATTCATTGTCCAGCTCTCACATGCATACCAGGCGATTGGAAATATCATGGCTTGTGTCAGGCGACCTGAGTCCTCAATGAGATATCCTTGCTCCTCAGCACTTGAAACAGTTCCTTCGCAGTTGACTTTCCCAATGCTACACGTTGTCTAATGTCCTGACTGCTGCTTCCATTGGCATCGATTGTAGAACCAAGCAATGACAACCTCAATCTTCTCTCCATTTATTGTGATGCTGCTCATTGGTCCAGTTGTGAGGATTTTTGTTTTCTTTATGTTGAGATGTACTACAAGAGTGTAGGTGGACAGATATTTGCCCTCATGAGTTCAGGGGCTTTTTCCTCCAAGGTGCTGAAGGGGCAGCTCCATTCATTCAGTATTGTCCTGCTGCTGAAAGCTTCAACTTTTAATTTTTTAAAATTTTATTCTATGCCTCAAGAAATAAAATAAACTATAATTGACAGACTTATAATTGATTTTAGCAAATCTATGAATTGTATTTTGAAAGTCTGTTTGGAGTCTATGCTAATAACATGGTAATTATTTCCAGAGATTTCCAATGAATTCTAAAGTGTTCTAATAACTATCAGTAGTGTATCAAGTGGAGTGATTACAGTACTCAGAAGCAGTTTTAATAGCACAGTTATGGAATACTTCCACTTATAAGGGAGACACTATCAGGAATTCACTGTAAACCAAAACCAAAAACCAAACTCACTGCCGTCGAGTCAGATCTGATCATAACGACCCCTCCTTGGGTTTCCGAGGCAATATCACTACAGAAGGAACCTTCCTTCTGAGGAGTGGCCAGTGGGTTTGAACCTTCAGCCTTCTGGTTAGCAATCAAATGCCTTAGGCACTAACGCCAGCAGAGCTCCTTAGCCTAATCTTTTTAAAAATGATGTCAAACCATTTTAATCATCTCAGAGTCTATCTACACTTTTCAAAGACAGCAACAAAATTATTGTCAATTAAATATTTAATGTTTCTCTTAGCTGGTAGATCTATTTGGTTAAACTTTTGATATCATTTAAAAAAAACTCTGCTGCCTAAATATGTTAGTGGGATTTTTATAATCAATGCACTTGGTACATTTATTTCTATTTTGTAGTACATCATTTAATCATACAATTTTGATTACAAAAAATCTTAACTATCATCACCTTGCTCCTGTGTCAAATTGCTGATCTTTAAGATTTGCTTAATTTTAAGACTTAGAAACACAACTCTTAATTCTAATAATTTTCCTTTGATTCTAGGAGTGGAACATGAGTGCTGATTTCCTTGTGCTGTTTGTACTGGTGCTGAATGTATTCAAGATGCTCAAATTTTTTTTGTTTAAAGTGAACTGGGGAAGGTTGATGACTTTTAGAATGAAAAGAAACTCTACATGCTTAGAGAAATAGAAGATATTCCAATGATATGTCCATTTTGTGGTGGAGGGAGAGTGAGGAACAATGCAGGGCCTCCTCATCTTTAATATAATATTTCCACTTCCTCATGACCAACAATGGATTGACTGATGTAAGGCCATTTCTCTCTCTCAGAAAATACCCATATTACAAAAGCTAGATATGGAAAAAATAGAGCCTAATTTTAATAAGGTGATAAAGAAAAAAAAAAAAAATTCTAAGAGAACACAAAACATTTCAATGTACGTGGCCTCTATGTCCCATGGCTGGTACCTATTGGTGCTACTGATGTCAATGTTAGTGGAAATTGATTGCATAGATATTTCTAAGAATAAAATGCAAAAGAAGGTGTAGTGTTCTGTGGATGGTCTGCCTCTACCACTCTTGGTGCCACCTTCATTGCACTATATTATCTTTTTGATCCCTCCATTTTAACTTGTGAAAAATGTCAATAAATATATCTGTTCTAAATTCTCAGTTTTCATAAGAATAAATACAGGAATATTCACAACTTCACCTAAAGGTACATTAGAAAACAAAATGAGCTGATAAACTAAGCTTCCAAACAATGGTTCTTATTTTTAATAAAACAACTGATCAGCATATATCCATATTTGGTTCTAAATTGTCTTTTCTGATATAGGCAAACAGACCATCTGCTGTTTCATCTAGGCACTTTCTGGGTTCAGAGAGGAAATTGGTGGCAACGTATACACACAAGCACTGGTTGAGGGATGCCCTTTCAGAACTTATACTCAGTTCATTCTCTTCTTAACCAAGAGTTGGGTTGCTGTTGTGTTTTTTGTTCTAAATTTCTTTGTAAACAGTATATAAGTTAGCATGGGACACTATATAAACCAAAGTACACTTCTGAAATTAACCAAATGCCCTTTCGAATACTCAGGAAAATGTTTTAGACCCATGGGTTCCTGTGGATAAATTCTAAACATCTGCTTAAACTGCCTCACGAGAAGCATAGTCACTGGTTCCAGAAGGCAATCACACATACACACATGCAATTTCCTCTAAATATTACTACCTTTTTGGTTTGAAATTTATTGAATTAACCTCATAATCTTACCAACAATTTCATAATTTATGCATTTACCAAATGAAGTCACAAAAGGAATAAGTGTGTTTTTTTCTTCTAATTTTCCTATGCAACAGGTAGGACAGCGTAGTGGTATACCAGGAAAAGCTTCCTTCTGTGAGGTAAGTAGCAGACACACCCTTGCTCTGTCCTGGTCTAGTCTAGATTATGTTCTTACCTTGATTATTGCAATTACCAGTATGTAATATGGAAAATATACCAGCATGTGTTATGGATTGAATTGTGTCCCCCAAAAATATGTGTTGTAAATCCTAACCTTTATGCTTGTGGTTATAATCCTATTTGGGAATGGATTGTCTTTGCTATGCTAATGAGACATGATTAGTGTAAGGTGTATCGTGTGTCAATGCCTTTTGAAATATAAGGTGATTATACAAGCAAACAGAAAAAGCAGAAATGGAGTGAGATGGATCCCAAAACACATGGAGATCTTCATGGAACCAGGAAGTAGAAACTGAAGAGACAAGGATCTGCCCCCAGTGCAGACAGAGAGAGAGCTCTGACTTCAGACTTTTAGCCTAAGCTGTGGGCAAATATATTTGTTAGAGGCATCCATATATGATATTTCTATTACAGCAGCACTAGATAACTAAGACAGTACTTAGGTACTTGCTGTTTTCCCACTAGACAATGAGTGGAGGAGAGCAAGGATTATGTTTTTTTTTATCTTTGTGTATGATCACATTTTTGTCCCCAGGAACAAGTTAATTTGTTCAATGAGTAGATGCTCTCTCACATAGTAGTCTTGGTTAGCCAGTTGATGTAGTGTATAAAGTTTAGGGAAACAGAAGAACAATGATAAGAAAGAACAGGTAAACTTGGAAGGAGGCAAAGTTGGGGAGAATGTGTAAAAGGAAGATGAGATCTGTGTAGAGAAGGAAGCAAATTCAGAAGTGAAAGTGAAAGAAATGAAAGAAGAGGCAGTGGTGAAAAGTGGTGAGAAGCTAAAAGTCCAATGGTGGCCAACCTCAGGAGACCAACTGGCTTCAAAGTACATTTAAACTTTTTATTGCCTATAAGGGTACTCCAGTCTCCTAGCTTATGGTAAGTTGGCTTCTGTAGTTCCATCCACTTTTATTGAGTACCTATTCTGGGCCAGCCCTGTGCTAAACAGTGAATGCCCCAACCAGTGGCTTGACAACATGAAAATTATTCAGTCTGTTTAAGAGACAATCTGACCCTGCTCTCTTCTGCTTTTAATGGCTGTTTAATGTTTAGTATTACTATTAATAATATTTAATAATACTAAATTTCACAGAATTTCCTTTTTCTGCAGAGTGTACAATACTGAAAATTATAGCACATATTAGAATTACCTTTTTTCTTTCTTCTAGAATAGATACACATTTTTAGTGTTAATAATGTGCTCTTTACTAGAAAGGCACAACTATACCTGACCTCCTTTCAATGACAAAGGGCCATTGTTGGGCCACTGCTGTAGGCTGCATGCAGTGTCATTTCCCCTGCTGCTTGCACTGCACCTCAGTACTCCCACCACAGCCAGGCACCCTCAGTGATTGATCAAGAAACACATTTTCTTTTTCCATGTCAAATTAGCTGTGTCTTCTGGTGGCTAGATAGCTTCAGCAGTGTGATTTTTAATAGGAATAAATCTACTAGAAACTTTTTATTCTAATTAAGATATCTAGGAATTGAAAGACAACAGAAGGTGAGGTGGGGGAAA